CAAGATAATAATTTAAAAAGGTGTTCCTATGCTTCTTTTATCATTTCATAAAATATCTTTCTATATGTTGCATATTTTAAAATGTTTCCACCATGTCTATAATTTTTACAATATTTCCATACGATATTTCCGACATTTCCGACATGTTTCTTATATTTGGATGACCGATATTTCCACCAACATCGATATTTTAAACCTTGGTAGGTAGTGGGCCTTAGTTTTGGGCATGCTTTCTTGTTTTTTATTGTTTTTGATTGCTGTCTTTAGTGATGGATGCCCTAGTATGGGCACTCATGCAATTGTCCTTATTTTTTACAACAAAAGAATAAAAGAGATCATTGGGGGCTGAAGAGTTTTTTTTTTTTTGAACGACTCTCTTCTTTCTTTCCTTCCATCTTCTTCCTCCATCACTTCTCCCTCTTCAATCTCCTTTTCTCCTATTTATTTTCTTTTAATTTGGATTATTGCAGGTGTGGTTTACAACTCTCTACTTGGAATGAAGCTGATATATGCTCATTTTTACTATTTGATTGAGTTAAAGAGTATGGCCTACTGATCTTTTCGACCGGAAATGTGACATTAGAGATTTATAGATGGCCTGCCACTGATTAGGTCAATCAGAGCCTTTTGTGTTTCATCTTTGTTTTGAACGCCCTACCCTTACTCTCTTTGTGACCATAGGATTGCTGTGTGAATGCATTTCCACATTGACTTTTCCCCTCCAAGCATGTGGAGAAGCATCTAGTCAATTTTTGGCCACTATGAGTGCCTAGTTGCCTAGTTGCACAGGTAATAACTTCATAAAATAAAGAACTAAATCTTGGCTAATTCCCTAGTTTTATATACTATTCAGCATGTGTATTAATTGAATGTATAGCAATTCTCTTTCTTGGGAACATTAAATTTCTTCTCAAAACATGGAAAATCATCATCTCTAAAAGATAAAAGGTATTTTAAATACATTAACAAGTTTTGAATAGATTAATTTAATATCAATTAGCAACTGAAGAAGGCTATAATTTTTTATGATGAAAATTGAAGATAGAGAGTAAAAGAGAAAAAGAACAAAGGTGGGGCTATTGTTATATTTAATGTAAGAGAGAGAGAGAGAGGGATAATAGAAAAACAACAAATAAAAAAGGAAATTTATTTACACATATTCTTTCTTTCTTTTCTCTTCCTAAAACTCTTTGATCTTTTAAACTTCAGTAGCAAAACTTTAAAACAAAGTACAAATGATACATATAGTATATAATAGAATGTGTTAACACACATATTAGTTAGATGTAGCAATACATGTGATATTATAATAAGGAACCCACCTTGCCATTTTTGTCACTTTGGTGGGTGCGTAATCACCCAGACGAGTACTTTATTGCTACAAGTCATGGCCTTTAGGCGAGGTGCCCTAACAAGAGTGCCTAGTCACATATGTGATGCCTTGACAACTATGCCTGAAAAGTAAACCTATCTCTGCCGAATCCATCTACTTAGCACCAAAAAGAGAAGAAATACTGCTAAATGATAGGGATCAAGCTGTAGGAGATAACACATAATTGTTTTGTGTTTGTATAAACATGAGTTCTCTTTATTAAAGATAAATAAATTGACTGGTTGTCAATAAAAAAATAGTATTTTGTGTTTGTTGTCTCTTTTTTTTTTACAATAATATGGTTTATTGCTGTTTTTTATGTTTAATTTCATAGTCTTACATCTTTCTTTGTTGAAGAAAAGTTAAAGTAGTTTTACATTTATGCATATATTTAAAAATGAAAACATGACAACATATTTTCTGTTTCTAGGTAGAGTTTGTTGGGGGCCCAATGTGTTGGAATACCCGCATATTTTCTGCATCTGCAGGTAAAATGCTAAGACTTTTTTTTTTAGATCAGCAACACAGAAATGATCCATTAAATTAAAAGATCATGTACAGCAAGAAGTTGTGGGCATACAAGAAGCCCAAAAGAAAATCCCACTAATTACAACACAGCCCCAAACATAGCCCAAAAGAAAATTCCACTAACTACAACATAGCCCAATGGAAAATCCACTAACTACAACACAGCCCAAAACATAGATTGTCTTTGAGCTCCTTGCTTAGCTAGACCATCAGCCATGCTGTTAGCTGATTTCCTAATCCATCTTATTTGAATCACTGTGCCTTTAGAAATCTGCTTGAAGTGCCTGAGCTCCTTCTTTAGCTTCCATATTACTCCTCCTTTCTTCAGCCAGTTAACAACAAATTTTGAGTCCCCTTCGATAATCAGCCTGTTAATTCCCAATTCTTTAGCTTTTTCAACACCATATACTGTTGCCATCAATTCTGAGCTCACCACATATGTAATGACTTTTGGATTATTAATTGCTTTTTTTTTTGTTTTAGGTGGTGGGGCCTTTTGTAATGGGAAAAAGATTCATGTTAGTCATACTGAGAAGGTCTGTATTACTTGGTTGATGGTTTTTTCTTACATCTTATTTGATGCCATTGGATACTATGTTTCATATTTATTTATTGATCTCTTATCTTTGCTTTTCCTAGATTCAAGTTTCTAGCTCATCGGAAGGGAAACTTTAGGGCATGTCAGTAGCCAACTAACCAAATGCTTTTTGTAGCTCTGTCTGATTGAACTAGTGAAGAATATTTGTTACTAATCTCTTTTGAAATTTTGAACAGGAAAAAGGAATAAAATAAATTATTAAAATTCCATTTCACTTCTAAGCCAACTTTTTTTGATGGATATTTACTAGATGTTCTTAGTCGAAATCAAGAAAAGGGAAATTAATCTAACTATGACATTGTTGTGTGGAAGGACGACATTGACATTTTAATTTTTTCATGAAAGGGTTATTTTGTAAACTTTCATAGTTAAGGGGTGAAATTGCAAATGTGTTATTGGGCCTCTTTGTAGTTATCAAGATGTCTTTCTAATCCTGACTACAAATTAGTTAGAATGAAACAAAGATCCCAACCTAGGGCATAGAGATAGAGTATCTTTATGGCAATGTTGTAAGACCAGGACCAGCCACAAAATCAGAATCCTTGCTAGGTTACGAGTAAAATGGTTTGACTGTGAATTATAGTTTATATCATATCTGAATGTGGTGGCTAGATGGTAGTTCCTTACCTTTTGATGCAAATGACCAGGATTCTAGTCATATATACATAACCAAAAGGTCATGAATTGAATTTTTCCTATTAGCATTTTAAGGTTTATTGATTTAGTGCTCGAGTGGGTTGTGAGAACCGGTTGGGTCATTGCAACCCAGCTGGTTTTCAAAGGTTCTTCTGGGATTTGGTTGGTTCTCCCAGCTTTTCAAAAATTTGAAAATTGGGGCTTTGAAAAGCATAAATGCCTGCCTGTTCCCAAGTTGATCAGTATGACTATTTGACCCGTCTGAGTCTTAGAACATTTTATGGTAAACCTTAGCTTGAAAAGGATGGAAATCCAAATTGGATTTGACACCTTTTCCCTTGGCATTGTGCCTAGTGTCATATGGACAGGGGCCCTTTGTTGAACCTTTTCATATGAACTTATGGTAAACATTTTCACTCCCTAGAACAAAATACAGCATCCTAATGCACTAGTTTCATGTCTTACAACATCGCTTTATTGGCTAAGGTCTTATCGATGAAACTAAAGGAGGTGCTTCATTTGGTAATGCCATATGGAGAGGAGCCTTTTTTTTTTTTTTTTGATCAATTGAGGAGCCCTTTGTTAAAGAGAGATAAATCTTAGACCAAATTCTTATAGCAAATAAAGCAGTGGAGGAATTTAGAAAATCAAGGAAAAAGGGAAGTTAGATCTGGAAAAGGCTCATGATCATGTAGACTAGGGATATCCTCAATGGGTGATGGAAAAGATGGGTTTTGGGCATATATTGTAAGGTGGATAGTGGCTTGTTTGAGATCAATTCATTTTTTGATACTTACTATTGGTTTTTCGAAAGACTGTTTTAGGCAAGGAGATCCTCTGTGCCAAATGTTGTTTATTTTGGTTGTGGAAAATTTTAGCAAACTTTTAAGGAGGGATTATGAGAGAGACATGTTTAGAGGATTTAGAGTGGGTATACTGGATTAAGTAGTGTAGAGAAGATGGGCCATTCGTTAAGTTAAACATAACCTTCTCTCTTTCACCCCTAATTCCATTTCATTAAGTTAAACTTTAATAATTTACAGAGAGGCCCCTAGTTGGGCAGAAAATTAAAAAACATAACACAAGAAAGAATAAAGCCCATTACAGCAAAGAACATGAAAAATAAAGAAGGATAAACAGCCTATGGGTCATTCAGCCCATCTTCTCTACAAGTAGTTTCTTGGTTGCAATTTTCTGATGACACTAATCTTTGGAGAGGTTAGGGGGATTCAGGATGTGAGATCCCTAAAATGAATTATGGAGATTATGGAAGAGAGAATATGGCATCAGACTTCAGATGGCTTATTTTCTTGTTCTTTCTTCATACTTGCCCAGTCGGTCAGTGCAGGATTAAACTTTCCTGTAAAAGAAATACGGTGTAAACCAATTCCTCCTAAAGTACAAACTCTTTGCTGGGAAATGTTTCTAGGGAAGGTAAACACCTGTGACGTGCTACAGAAAAAACGCCAAACATGTGCCTTTCTCCTTATGTGTGTGTTCTCTGCAAGGCTTGTGAAACCCTCTCTCACTTACTGCTCTCCTGATCATTTGTTTATTGTATTTGGGACTATTTCTGTTCTCTTTTTGGATGCAGATGGACTCCCCCACAGGACATAGTGAGTCTCTTCAACCCAACCTTCCTAAGGCAATAGAAGAAATGGGGAAGATGCATGTGGAAGACAGTACGTGCACGTGCTGCTGTGGTTTGGTCAATTTGGGAAGAGAGAAATCATAGGATCTTCAATGGAAAAAGTAAATCCTTAGAGGAGGTGATTGAAGCCATCAAAATCAGATCGGTACATAGGGTCAAAACCTTGGAATTGTTCAAAGGTATTCCTACGGATGACTTTTTAAATTGGACAGAAGTGGCACGCTCAGAACCACATAGTGAAACTATAAGAGTAGAGTGGAAACCACCAGGGGTAAATAAACTGAAACTACACTTCGATGGGAGTTCATTTGGCAACCCAGGAAGAGCAGGGTAGGGAGAGTCTTTCGAGACCATCATGGAGTAGTGTTGGCTTTGTTCTCAGGACCAATTGGGTTTGTAGACTCGATTCAAGCTGAACCAAAGTCTCTATGACAAGGATTGAAGCTTGCTAAACAGTTAGGGGCAGGAGAGTTGGAAATTGAAGGAGACTCACTTCTGATTATAACTTGGGCAAAGCAAATTGAGTTAGCACCTTGGAATCTAAGATTCACTTTTAGACAGATTGACGAACATTCAAAGAGATTTAACCCTACATTCAATTGGGTTAAGAGGGAAGCTAATGGGTTGGCAGATATGTTAATCAAGTAGGGAGCTAATAGACCATCTTATTTTGGGCATTATTGTAAACTGCTTTGTTTTGGAAAGTATTTTTTTTTATTGGAAACGGTAACTTCATTAAATAACTTTCCAGATTTAAATACAGCTGTCAACCCCTAAGTAGGTGTTGAGCCCCAGTTATCTTTCTTACAAAACTGCCCAGAACATATTCTCCCTCACAGTCCCTTGTTTAGCCAACATGTCAGCTAAACCATTAGCTGATTTCCTTGTCCATTTGAAGCATGCACCGATCTCCCTTGTTATATTGTGGATTTCCCTTATGGGCTATCTATAGATCTAGGCTCCCAACTTACCAGATTGCAGCCACTCAATCTTAATTTGGTGTAATCCCAACTGTTTTGCATATCTTACACCTTGAAGCAAGGCCAACACCTCCGCTCTCAATGAGTCCCCCACTCCTATTGGTCCTAAAAACAAAGCCACAATTCTGCCATTCTCATCTTTGAAAACTCCTCCTATACCTGAAGGGCCCGGGTTACCTCTTGAACTCCCATCAAAGTTCAATTTCACTCTTTGTTGTGTTGGTGGGGACCACAATTCCTGCACAATAGGTTTCATGGAAGTTGTAGAAACCACCACTTCCCAATTCCTATAAATTTCTTCAGCTGAGAAGTCTTTAAACAAATCCAAAGTTTTCAACCAATGAATAGTCATAATAATTATTCCTTCTACAATTGCCTCCTTGGATTTCTCCACGCCTTTAAAGATTCTATTTTTCCTTTCTTTCCAAACTGACCATAAGATAGCTGCTCTTGTGGCTCTTCACATTAATCTTTTGCGCCTCTTCGGTTGCCTGAAAAAGCTTGGGTCAAAAAGGCTTGCCACATCTAGGGGAGGTGTCCACCTACAACCAAAGATAGAAGAGAACCAAGTCCAAATAAAGCATACAAATGCACAAGAAATCAATAGGTGTGTGATCGTCTCACCAGATCCCAAGCAGAGGCTACAAACATGGGGTGATAGGCAAACATTTGGCCTTTTTCTTTGCAACATATCTAGAGTATTGATTATTTGGATAACCACCTCCCAACAAAAAGCCCGAACTTTTGGGGTGTAGGCTGACACCAAATCTCCTTTGGAGGAAAGTTCCTTACAAGGTTTGATGATTGAATGAGGATATCAATAAAGGAAGAGCAAGTGAACACACTAGAAGGGGAAAGTTTCCAAATTCTACTGTCCACATAAGATTGATCTAGGTAAGTTGACCCTAGAAGGTTAATTAATTCATCCACCATTGTCATTTCCGACTCATAATTCATCCACTAGGTAAGTTGACCCTAGAAGGTTAATTATAGGGTTTGGGAAGTATTGTATCTTAAATTCAGATTTAAATCAATAAATGAATTTCTTTGCTCATAACAATCCACAAACAACTTCAAGAAGGTGAAAATTCTTTCTTTTTGTGTTTTAGCACAAGAACTTTGATGAAGAGACCCACTCGAAGCAACGAACTCCGTGAGATCACTGTGAAAATACTCCTTTGTGTTGTCTAACTGAAAAATGTGAATCTTAGTTTGGAATTGGGTTAAGGTCATGCATTGGAAATCTTTCACAAGCTTTGGCATTTCATCTCTAGGTCGCATGGGATAAACCCAAGTATATCTAGAGTAGTCATCAATCAATGTAATAGAATACTTATAACTAGTTTCAGAAGGTATGAACAAGACAATTGTGCCATAAATAGGTTTGACTCTTACTAGACAGACTCATAGACTTTGTAGCCACAAATCCGACTTCATTTTCCAACATGTAGAGACCATCCACCATATTGCCTCTACCAATTGTCCTCTAAGAGGTCAAATCTTAGAACACACAAGAAGGGAAAAAATGGTTATTGAGCAATTCAAAGAATGAGTAATGCTACTAATGGAAAGTAAATTAATAAGCAGTTTAGGGGACATGCAGTACATTAGATAGGATAAGATCAAAAGAAAGGGAGATGTTCCTTGACCAGCAATGGTAGAGAATGATCC